CCATCCATCCATCCATCCATCCATCCATCCATCCATCCATCCATCCATCCATCCATCCATCCATCCATCCATCCATCCATCTTCTGTCACTGTGAGCAGTGGTTGTGTGATGGAAGCAACAGGTTCAGAAAGGAAACCGTGAACCTTTCCCTAGTGACACTTTCCAGTCCCTCCCAGATAACAAAGCTCCTTATTCTGTCTTGAAGGCAGAGCCCAGCTTTTCTATGAAGAAAGCCCATTTCATTAGCTTGCGTCCAGTATCTTGTACTTTTTATTGTGAGCTACACATGACCATAGGTGAGAAATGGAGTTTAAATGTAAATTCAACTCTGGAAGACTAATGACCTCGCCTGCTCCTGCCGACCTCCTCRTCTCAAGCTCAGCTGTGTCCAGTCGTTGCAAACCCAGCTATGTCCAATCAGCTCCTGTCTGCCAGTGAATAAAAGCCAGTTGTCTTGATCGCACAGTCTGTATGCCAGCTGACCATCGGGCTTTACTCACTTTCCAAAACATTGCAGTTGCAGGTAGGCCAGCATCTGCTCATCTGTTTTCATTCACCTCTCCTGGCCCCTCTTCTGGCTTCGTCCAAGGCTCTTTGCCAGCCGCAGCCACTCCAACACGCCCGTCGCCTTAATGCGTTCACTTCAACGCTCGACATCAATGTTCGCTTCTCGCATACAGCAAATTGGCAATCTCAGCTCCGCTACGGCCACTTCCTCTTTCACTCAGCTACGTCTACCCATCTACCTGCCTTGCAGCTCCTCCCCTCAGCGTTCACTCCGGAAAACGCCCGTCCAGGGCCGTCCCTAGGGTAAGATGTACTCACCCTTAACTCATTCATATTTTCTTCTGTCTGAAGCGCTTCATATTTTTATTCATCCATCTGATCCCGCACCTCCCTCACCCACTCACGCATTTTCAGCAGGCAGCTTTAATTTTTAAACTTAGTCTTGTGTCCTCAGTAGCTGCCTTCACTATACTCACAYAGTCATAGCAGCCGGCCTTCATCTACCGGCACACAGTCATCCTACCAGCTGGCCTTCCTCCACCGGCACTAACAGACATTCTACCAGCTGGCCTTCATCCACCAGCTCTCACCATTACTTTTAACAGATAGTCTTCAGTCACTAGCCGGCAGTCCCACTACACCTCTCCTTTTGTCATTCATTCTGCACTCAGCTGATAACATGAGGCTTCGACTTAAATCTCAGCCTCTCTTTTGGGGGAACATAGAAAAACCATCACCTATTTATGTACTCCTAGTTTGTCGGCTATCCCTATTATGTGTCATCATTCTCATCATCCCCTAAAGCGCCATTCAGTTCCTGCTAGTTTAATGCAGCTTCAACCTCCTCTCAGCTTTGGCCTCTTTTGGGGGGGATTAAATCTCCTACCCCTAACTTAAAGCATCTCGTATGAGATTACAACTTCACTCAGTGCTCTCGTCCTCTGCCGGGGTCCGAGTGCCAAACTCTAATGCCATTTATGTCATAACGATGTTGGTCCGGACATGTCAATAAACCTCCTAAATTTCATTCTGTCTGTGTGAGTCTTTCCAGGTTGAAATAGAACTGTGTCCCCTCACAACATCCAGAACCTTCAGCATCCTGAAATAAAACACTGTATCTGACCTTGAGCTTTACACCGACACAGCTCCTTGGGATTTAGCTGTTGAACAGCAGCAAGTTGTTTGCTTCCAAATGGCCTCAGAAGTTACTACATATCACAATCTGCTGGGTCCTTATCTGTAACTGACAAGCTGTACTTCCATCATCATTTTAGAGAACAAGAGGTCAAGGAACTTGAGTTTCAACTATCAAGGAGACAAAAGCTTTAAGACTAATTTTCTAATCTTCTGCTATCCGGCATGTTTTAGAGGTTTCTTTGCTCCAACACACCTGATTTGAATGACTAAGCTTAGGCAGAACATGGCTGTGCCCAAATTCAAGGGTTGCAYCCTCTGAAGGCMAAATTTGTCAGTTGCTTACATCACTACGCTGTGCTGAAGGCTGTCCAAATTTGAAAACCTCTCTGACGTGGCCCACAAATGTATCTTCCTTTTTCCCCAATTTGAGGGACGGGTATGGTGGAACCTTCTCAGACCACTCTATCCCAAAATGCATTGCAGGCTGACCAGATAATTGTTTTTTTTGCTTGCAATGGCGAATGAAGTGAAAGAAAGGAGTACAGTTTTAACTAAAAATCTGGCAATATAATAATTGAAAGTTTAAAGCGGTTGTGTTATTTATGTTTTTGTCATTTGCGTAGACATGTTTTAAAATATTGTTCTTGTCACAAATCAAACAAACTCATGTGGTGAAACGAACGAGTAAGAACGGCAGGTGTGTTAGTTCTTCAAACATTGACTTTAAGCTAATTTTGTTATTTTATAATATTATTAATATTAATATAGCAATATTTTGCTAATTTACATCTATTTTTGCTTCTGTTTAGCATTGTTTAGCACGGTTTCTTGGTGACAGGATATATGTCAGGGTAAGGGTGGGAATAAAGCTGAAGGCTARACTGTCCAAATTCACAGCCACTTTTGTCCAGACTTCGCAGTCCAACAAGGACCCAGCCCATCTAGACCAGGTTGGCTGAATACTTCTAAGGATGCAGCCCCTGAATTTGGACACAGCCCTTGAAAAGAGAATTCAGTCACTGAATCAAATACTGTATATTGAATCAGAGGAACAAGTAAACCAAGCATGACAGCGGGCCTCGAGGACCAGGATTGCCCACCCCTGGTCTAACTATTCATGCGAACAAATCTCTCATCTAAAAAGGAAATCTGACTAGACAAAACACCCACATGCAGAAACACGTTCAACAACAGGAACAAAATCTAACTAAATACCTTCTGCTTTTGTGGAATTGTTAAAAAACAGCTGTCAACTTCCAGCAAGGAAGATTTTAATCTCTGAACATCCTGATGAACTGGCAAATTATGAAAAAACAAACAAAAAAATAGTAATACTGCATCTTTACAACAACAAGTAAAAAGTGAGACAAAATTGTGTAGAATATGAACTTTAAATTTGTTCCAGTGAAACAAACAGAAGAATCTTTTATAGGTTGTTAATTAAAAACTGTATGATGCCATTTACCAATCTTAATTTTATTTTATTGCAAGAAGATACAGTAGATTTGTTTCCTTATTGGTACAGGACAYACAATTGTGAATTGTGTAATGATTCTAAATGATGGCTCAGCATATTAGACTAAAATATATCACAAGAGRTGGAATATCAAAKGACAGGTGATTGACTGTAAGCATTAGCTTTAAAACTAATTCTGACCCATTCTGAACTGGAGTTGAACATGTTTACAAACATCAAAAACAGCATAAATATATGTGTACATATGTATAAGGTTATGATAAATTCTGTCTAGATGTAGGTCAATTTTTAAAATGTGTCACAGTTGTGTAAACTTCTGAATGCCAAATTAATCAAAGAAAAAAGTGTTTGTGTTTGGAGACACTTTACTACATCCTGCAAAGCTGCTAAATGCCATCTATTAATTCACCAGTCCAAATCTAAGTATTGTTTACTTTGAATAGATAAAGGCTGGGATGAAATTTAAAGCCAGGAACAAAAGCTCATGTTTAATTAAAAAAAAAACTTAGTCAAACTGCTTTTCTTTTTCTTTGTTTCATGTCACAGAGTTTCAGAATTTTTTTCCCCCAAGAAGTTGTGACAGGTTGTTGCTCTTTTTTTTTTAATAATGGAAGATTCTTACCACATAACTAACCAAAATAACCAAGTCCTGCCTTTTTTAAGCTTGCAAGCTTACATTTACCAATGGAAAAATAAATAAATAAATAAATAAATAAATAAATAAATAAATAAATAAATAAATAAAATGAGGGGCCTCCTATGTCACTTTGACTCAAGGGCAGCAGGAGGGTAAAATCCAGATATTAAGTGCAATCAAAACAGGACATATTTTAATGCTTTATAATAAACAATAACTAAACTAAAGTGATGAAAACTTGAAAAAAGTAGGTCATCTTATTTTTTAACCTGCTGCTGAACAGACTGCCAAAAAATAAAAATAAAAAGTAGAATAAAATAAATAAGCATTTCATAGTGTGTGGACAGGTGGGAGTTTCCTTGATGTTCAGTGGCTTGGTTGAAGAGGAAAAACTTAGAATAAGTAAATATATCTTTTTCGGCTGCTCTGATAAAATTCTTCCCATGAAATGTAGTGTAAAGAGGCACACAGAGGTATGTGTGAGCACGAAGGTTTTGAATGTGAACACTACGTTTAGGAACTTGTCTCTTGAAGACCAAAGCTAAAAGCCATCGAAGACATTTTTGCAAGTGATTTCTGATCTTGTGATATGACAACTTTAATTGCATGTTAAAACTGTACTTGTAACATGAATTATTTCAGATTGAATCATCATTTGAATAGCTTGGAATCATGTGACATGTGTATTTGTAATTTKTTTTTCAGAGATGAACTGTCTTCTGAGCCTGCTGACTGTAGGGCTCACCCTGTGCTTGCAATGCCAGGTTGCTGGTAAGAACCTACAATAGTTTTTATGACAAATTAAACTTTTWATCTTTCATGATCTAACGTCACTCAAAGTTCTAAAGTTCAAATATTTGAAAACGTTTGCAACACGTTGTGAAACTTAAAAACACATGCCATTGCCATCATCAAGCTGAAGAGAGGAAATTTAATTTGTGTTTTCAGATGCCCATTTGAGCCAAAGTTTTATTGAAAAGTATGTGAACAAAGCCAAGTCCAACGTGGACACAGCCTGCACGTATTCCAGACAAGTGTGAGCGTACAAATCTGCTGACAGAACCTATGGTGGAAATGGACTGACCAAGGACAGCTACTTCTCTGGTCATCTGCTGTTTACTGAGTAGGAGGGCTGTAACAGCTCCTAGGTATTTTATGTTTTTAAACAGATGTTAAATGAAAACTTTAAACTAAAGTCAATAAATGCACTTTCAGAAATTATCTATTTTATTGTGAAAATTGCTGACAAAACTGTGTTTTTCTGTTTGTAACAGTTGTTTAAATGAAGGAAATGTATAATGCACTGACACTCTGATGTGAAAACTGCCCCTGATAGAGTGATTTAACTGATGTTTGACTTGCTAAAAAGTAGTTAAATAATATACCTGTCCAGTACATGAACTTTAGTTTTTAGCTGATTTACTTTTGGACATTTATTTTTTGTTTTAGAGTTTAAATAAATAATTTTCAGTTACTTCTATTTTGACTAAAATGAATAAACACCATATGAAACAAAGTTGTTGTTTGAGTAAGTTCTTTGTCCATGCACACCATTTTTTAAATAGTAAACAAAAAGCAGACTTAATGTTTAAATGAATCATATCATGCATAAAATTCACCAATGAATAACTTAATTACACAATCCAAACAATTCAAATGATGATGAAAAAAAACWTTAAATTAGTGTTGCAGATTTCAGGCAAACTGTACATTTGTTTGATAAAGATTTAGCTAAAGTTGAAAACGGAATGACGAAGGGCGGTTGTCTCTTCATTCATCCCTATGAATTTAAACAGGTTTTAAGGAATGTATGATTGCTTTTCTTTCCTTCTCGTAAGTGCTCTYATGTGCTTCTTGTTTGTTACCGTACATGATTTGAAACTACCGTACATTCTTCTACTGGTTCCTGCAGAGACTTTCTTTGCTGGTAGTTCTGACTTTAATGCTTTCAGTCAGCTTTTTTTGATTTTTAGTACTGCAACACATGAGCACACAAGTACAAACAAATTTGAAGGGCTTATTTCTGTTTTAATAAACATCCTCGTTTGCTTTACCTTTCATATAAACCCAAACTTGCAGTCWTAAAGAATATTCACACATAAAATGCTCTGGGTGTAAAATAAAAAATGACTTTACTCTGAAGCAAATTTGAAAAAAAAAAGTGAGGTTATTTGACTGTGATTTCTGACTTGAAAGGGATCCATACTGTTATTTCAAATGATTAAAAAATCCTCCTTTCTTTCCTTCTTTTACTTTCTGACAGAAATTTACAGACATTTTTCAGTATTGTTTTTCAATGAGCCAATAATTATCAGACAGTTGAGTTTACATTAAACATTCAGCTGAAGTGAACAGTTTTGCTAAACCAATGTTTTTCAAAGTGGTGGCTGCGGCCCCCTGGAGGGCTACCAGGGGCACTAAGTGGGCCTTAGAAAGTAGGAGGTAAGATATGAAGAAGAAGAAAAAAGCTAAAACTTAAATAAAGCTACTAAATGTTTTAAATCATTATCATTAAAATCAAATCTGTCTTTCAATAATTATTTTAAAATATAATTTATAACAATATTTTGACTACTATTTTCACTTTTCACTACTATTGTGCTGTTTGTTGAAAAGTTRTTTTTTTCAGTAGGAATTTAATACAGTGTTGCCTTGCTTGCTAATAAAATTCTTATGCTAAGCACATGTAATATTTATTGAAAAATGAATAAAAGTGATAAAAACATTCTAAAAGTTGATGCTTCTTCACATAATTTAAAGCATTGTTTCTGGGTTTGCAAGGACGGTCCYCTGCCAGAAGCTAATGCTGTTTGTGGGGCATAGAGTGGAAAAGTTTGGAAACCCCTGTTCTAAACCAAGCAATGCAGGCAAGAGTTAATGATCAAAAATGTTTGGGCCACACCCTCCTAAGCAATTAACTCTGTGGTTGTATTAGCTGTGCCAGCATCTCAGAAGCAACAATGCAGCAGAGAACAGTATTGTTTAAAAAGTTTACTTCCTTAACGGAAGCCTCCTGCTGGACTTGACAAAAACAATGAAAACACAAACAACAACAAAAATATTAATAACTTGATTTGTAATACAGTCTGCACACAAAACCTCTTTAGTCTATTTTAGAGTACACTTTTCTATYCAGCAGCTCTGCAAGTAAAATGTTTTTTCACTCTGTATATTATAAAAGCCCACAGKAATAATGTTTCACCACAGAAATTGAGTTTTCAGTTTAACCCTAAAATGCATACAAGATATTCAGGGATGAAAGACCAAAGATTGGGGAATCACTTTGTTTCTAATCTCCATCTAAACTGAATCAAAGTGCTGCCACACTGCATAATTAACTTGTTGTTTAACGTAAYCAATTTTCTTCAATTATAAAATTTAAAAATATATAAAGTATATTCAAACAATCATTAAAGAAAAAAATGAATTGAGTGCCTTGCCATTGTGACGACACCTGGGTCTTTCCTTGAAACTAATTATGCACGATGAAGAAGGAACCAGGAACCAGAAAATCAACTCATGGGAGAGTGGAATTCTTCACGATGTGACACGACATTCAGAGATGTATAAAAGGCTGTCAGACATTGAGCAGTAGCATCTCTTTACATCAGCTGGAAGAACAAACTGGAAGATAAGCACCACTGAAGGATTCAAGCTTTCTCCACAGGTGATTTGATTCCTTAAACTTTTGTGGGCCAGGAGAATCAAATTCCATAAATAGGCATTTTTTTAGATTATACTGTACATTTTAGGAATAAATAGAAAAAGATTTATCCTAATGTAATGTGATTAAGAGATTTATTTAAATTTAATGAATATATATTTTTTAAAATTAACAGAGATGAATCTTTTTCTGAGTCTGTGGGCTGTGGGTCTTACGCTGTGCTTGCGATGCCAGGTGACAGGTGAGTAGTTATAATTTTGTTTATTTGTGGWATTACTTTTTTCCTGGAAAGGATGTAACCCAACTCAAAGCTACTAGTGCAACTTAAATACAGAAAATCTTTATTATCATATAAAAAACTGTAGAGTTTAACCCCTGCCTCCACTTATTTTCAGAAGCCGATTTGAGCCAGAGTTTTATTGAAAAGTGTGTGAACGACGCTAAAGCAAACGTAGATGCAATCTACACCTACTCCAGACAAGAGTGAGTGTAAAATACTTAAAAATATATATTTTAAAATGAAGTCAAATGTTCCAAATCAATGTATTTATAAGTCTGACCTCTCTGCACACAGGAGCATTGAACGGGTGAAGAGAGACACAGCATCACCTGCAGACATCCTGAGGCTCCTGAAGCAGCCCAGAGGAGTGTCCCGTATGGCTGTGCGAGCAGCTGACTACATGGACAACACACTTCATCTGATCAGGAGGTCTGTGGCAACACGGCACAGACGCTCCGTTAACGACACAGGTCTGTATTTGTAACGAATTCATTTACTGTTGTTTTCAGTGTTAGTGCTGCAGCTCATCTTTGTTCCTATATTGTGTTGATTAGATCTGATCTCTGATTCGGATCTGGAAGTGATCTCCAGACTGACAGGCTGTGCTGCACAAGTCAGACAAGTAGCTTGCGACAGTATCACCGATGTAAACCTGTATCGGACTGCAAGTGGCATCTGCAACAACCTGTGAGGCAACAATTTAATAATAAAAAATAGTCTCATAATACTGTACATACACATAAACATTTTTACATAAAAAAAAATTAAAATCTGTTTTATTTCTCCTTTTCATGTAGGAGGAACACTCGTTGGGGAGCCTCTAACACCCCATTTTCCCGTTGGCTGCCTGCTGAGTATGAAGACGGAATCTCTCTTCCTAAAGGCTGGACAGATGGGAAGACAATTAATGGTCATCTTCTTCCTCTGGTATGACCTTCCGAGTAACCTTTATTCTTCAGCACACAGACACCCCAACACAAGTACTCATTGTCTTTATCTTGTCCTCAGGTAAGAGAAGTGTCCAACCGTATCCTGGCAACAGCTAACACTGATGTGCAGAGCGACTCTGAATACACTTTCCTGGTGACCATCTTCGCCCAGTTTACAGACCACGACCTGACTTTAACCCCTCAGTCTCCTTCCATCAAATCGTTTAATAATGGTGTTCACTGTGCAAACACCTGTGCCAACACAGAGCCATGTTATCCTATCAAGGTTAGTGTTTTTATATTTTAATATAATATTATGAAAACATCTGCCACATATTCAAAGCTAACAGCTTCTTGTGCTTTAAACAGTTCCCCAGTAATGACCCCCGCCCTGACCGTAACGCCCTATTGGATAAGTGCATGCCCTTCTTCCGCTCTTCTCCAGCTTGTGGTTCTGGAAACACAGGCTACCTTTTTGGTGCCAGCACCACCCGCCAACAGATTAACGTTCTCACAGCCTACCTTGATGTGGGTGAGGTCTATGGTTCTGACGACATCAAAGCGAAACTACTCCGAAACCTCACTTCTGATGAGGGTTTATTGAAGGTCAACACAGAGTATGATGATAACGGCCGTGAGCATCTGCCCTTCACCACCATGCAGGCCAACATGTGTGCCACCCGACGCAAAATAACTAATGATCCAAATGCTAAGGAGGTGCCATGCTTTTTAGCTGGTGAGCAACAAAAATCATCATTAGAGAAGCTTTAAAAGATCAACCTTTCCGAAGGCTGACAGCATTTTTTTCCTATTTTAACTTCATTTCATATTCAAACTCTTTATTGACTTAATTTCCTGTTTAAGGTGATGATCGTGTGGACGAGAACACTGGACTGACTTCTTTACACACACTGATGATGCGAGAACACAATCGTTTGGCCAGAGCACTGGCTAAGCTCAACCCACATTGGAACGGAGAGAAACTGTACCAGGAAGCACGCAAAATCATGGGAGGATACTTTCAGGTAAAGAACATGAAATGCCCACACCCTGACACAAAACTTTAAGACCAATGACTAACTCAGTTTCTCTTGTATTTTAGGTCATCACTTTCAGAGACTGGCTACGCCACATTGTTGGCCCACAAGCCATTGCAGAAAAACTGTCAACCTACCCAGGTTATGATGCAAATGTGGACCCTACCATTTCCAGCATTTTTTCCACAGCTGCCTTCCGATTTGCTCATGTGATGGTTCAACCCTTCATATTTCGTCTTGATGAGAATTATCAGAATCATTCTAGTTACCCTACGGAAGTGATCCATAGAACCATGTTTGCACCATGGAGGGTCATCTTTGAGGGTAAGATACTGAAATTCCTAATTTTCTATAAAGCAGAGTGTGAATTCATGGATCAACTCTGAGGATTTTCATTTGTTCTGCAGGGGGAATTGATCCACTTTTGAGAGGCTTAGTGGGTAGCAAGGCTAAACTGAACAACCAGGATCGTATTTTGTCTGATGAGCTGAGGGACAGGCTGTTTAAGTTCACACAGAGGTTGGCACTGGATCTGGGATCATTGAACATGCAGAGAGGCAGAGACCATGCACTTCCTGGTAAATATTTAGTCTAGATGTCTTAAGTCTTGAAAGTCCGTTGTGTAAACTACTACTAATTTCTCCATCATACCAAACTGTGTGGAAATCCATTGCATGTATACATTGTGTACTATTGTAATTTCTGCTAACTTGTTTTTGCCTCTTTTAGGCTACAACAAATGGCGTGGGTTCTGTGGACTGTCTCAGCCAAAGAATGAGAACGAGTTGGCTAAAGTGCTGAACAACACCAGTTTGGCCAAGAAATTGCTGGCTCTATATGGCACACCTGAAAACATTGATCCATGGCTGGGAGGAGTAGCTGAGCCATTTGTCCCTGGAGGAAGAGTGGGGCCCTTGTTTGCTTGCCTTATTGCCACCCAGTTCCAAAAGATCCGCAAAGCAGACCGGTAAATTCATAGAAAATAATAGTACACCCTTAAACATCTGAAGATAAACATGTTTACAAATATTTCACATTTGGAGACTTAAAACATAATGTCTTATTTTAGCTTCTGGTGGGAGAAAGATGGAGTCTTCACTGATGCTCAGAAGGAGTCACTGAGGAAAACATCATTGGCTCGCATCATCTGTGACAACACTGGCATCACTGAGGTTCCTGAGAAACCCTTCCTCTACCGACCTCGTGGTTCTGGTTACACCCAGTGTAAAGATATCCCTGCATTTGACCTCAGTCCATGGCAGGAGAATGGTAAGTTCATGTTAAGCTTTTCAGTAGAGATTGAATTGGTGAAAATTACTATTTGTTTTTAATTAGATCTTATTTTTGATGTTTCCAGTAATACTTGAAAAATTACACATCAAGCTTGTGTGGAAATTAGTATTTTTTTTCTCAAGTCACTTCAATAGAAAACAGAACTGAATATTAGATTCTTCAAAATAAAAGTCTTTAAAATTGGTATTTTTTTCTTTTTGTTTCTCTAGGAAATTGTAAAGAAGGGCCCCCAGGACCACAAGGTCCCCCAGGACCACAAGGTACATTTCTTACATTTAATTTAAGAAATTTAAATAATTTAAATATAGCATTATGTTGCAGTATTCAAATTGTATAAGTGCAATGTTCTAAATGTAAGTATTTTCATGTGTTTTTGCACACAGGACCACAAGGAAAACAAGGCCCCCCAGGCCCTCCAGGCCCCCCTGGTGTGGCAGAGAAAGTAGCCTTCTCTGTACATCTGGGCAATGACTACCCCAAGGTTGGTGGTCCCATCATTTTCCATGATGTCATCTACAATGGACAGAACAGCTACAACACCAACACCGGCTACTTCACCTGCGAGCACCCAGGGGTGTATGAGTTTGAGTTCCACTGCACAATTTACAAGTACTCAGCCAGCATCGATCTGATGCGTAACAAGGATTTGATTCTGCACTCATACACCACCCGCCAGAGTGGATACATCACAGCCAGCGGCAGCACCTACATCAAACTTGAGAAGGGAGACAAGGTCTGGCTGGTGGCTAACAAAGATGGAAACGGACTGACCAAGGACAGCTACTTCTCTGGTCATCTGCTGTTCACTGAGTAGGAGGGCTGTAAGTGCCACTAGGAATTTTTTAACCACATTTTGAACTAAAGTAGAAGTAAAACATTAAACTACAGTCATTAAATGCACTTTATGAATTGTATCATTGTGAAAATTGCTAACAAAACTGTTTTTGGTTGGCTGTTATTAATTGTTTTTATTGAAGGAATTTACATGATGCACACTCTACCTACAAAAAAGGCTGTTGGAAAAAGATTATGGCAATTTGTTAAATAAATGTCATTCAATGCTTCTGCTTCTTGTATTTTGATAAATAAACTGAAATTAACTTCTAAAATTGTTTACTTTGTACATGAATGTAAATTTTCAAGGAAACTTTTAGAAATGTAAATATGTAAAACACAAACGTTGTTCACAACAGTTTATGTGCATCTTCAGTTTAAATGTTACACTTAATTCTGACAAYAAAAAATGAAGATTGTATAAAATATTATCTAGTGAACTCTTTATTACAAAACATTTATTTCATTAATTTGCAAGCTTGCACACACATATACCTCACATTTCCTATCTTTCTGTCTTCACAGGGACTTTGAATTAACTTTCATTAATTTTTTGTTCATTTTTTTAATGTAACCCACTTATCCCACCCCAAGCACATGCCTTACCCTAAACTTAATCTCTACCACAAAAATGGCAATTGTGGGTCCTCAAAAGATAGTACAATTTGGAAAAATGTGCTTTACGTGGTAATAATGCTAGAACACACACACAGAAGTTTGTTTTATAACCCCGTGGGGACCGTGGATTGACTTTCATTAATTTTCTGGTAATTTTATAKCTTAACTCTGACCATYTACACWAAACTAMCCTAAACTCATAACACAGCTTGGTCCTAAACCTAACCCCTACCCATAACCAGCATCTGAATTCGTGGGGACCAGGCTTTGGTCCCCACAAGGAACATTCAGTCCCCACAAGGTTATATTTCAGGTCACGAGGTTGACCTGCAGTTATACTGCTCTTTTAASGAGTCAAGTCCCCACAAGCTGATCTCTTTCTTAGACTGYATCACAGAAGTAAACAAATGGCTCTCTGACAACCTGCTACTCCTTAACCGTGACAAGACAGAAACTCTGATCCTGGCACCTGAAAATAAGATCTCTCAGATAAAMGAACAACTGGGCTCTCTGGAGCCGACTGTTAAAAAGAACATACGAAATCTGGGAGTCACTTTTGATTCAGATCTGTCACTAGATAAAACACGTCAAAAATCTAGTTACATCATGCTATTTTCAACTCCGTAATATCTCGAAACTTCACCCTCTCCTGCTTGCCTCTGACCTGGAAATGGTAACCCATGCCTTTATCTAAACCCATCTTGACTGCTGTAACAGTCTGTTCACCTGCTTAAATCAGAAACAATTAAACCGGCTCCAACTTGTTCAAAACTCTGCTATTAGACTCCTAACAAGAACATCCAAATTCTCTCACATCACCCCTATATTATCAGTCCCCCACTGGCTACCTGTACAATTCAGACTCAAGTTCAAAATCCTGGTTCTCCCTTTTTAGAGCTCTACACGGCCAAGCGCCGAACTGTATCTCCGGTCTTCTCTCGCCTTATAACTCCAAATGCAACTTGCGCTCATAAGACCAGAATCTTCTCTTGGTTTCCTGTACTCGCTTCAAGACCCGTGGGGACTGTGCCCTTTCCTCAACGGCTCACACTCACACACACACACATACACGCACGCATGCATGCACGCACGCTCGCACGCACGCACGCACGCACGCACGCACACACACACACACACACAAGTTTGCACAGCTATCCATTTGAGGACACTCCATTGACTTTCATTACATTTCTACAGCCTAACCCTGACCACAAACACTAAGGCTAACCTCACAGGTACCTACCTGACCCTAAAACTAACCTAAACTCAATTCACACCTTGTATTACTTTGTGACAATGAGACATAAGTTATTTTAGCTCTCAGAGTGTGTGTTGTGAATAACATCTAAATCAAATTAGTTCAATATCTGTAAAATTGATAGTTAATTATTTTTTGGTGTTGAATTGGGCTGAGCATAGTGTAGTGCTCCAAGAATGTGTTGGGAATGATTCTCAGCAACCAATGCCGTATAAAGTTTGGGCCCCAGGAAGATTAATCTTTTCTTTGAAGAGACTAATGGGGACCCATCAATAAAATAAAAATAAACAACTAAAATAAATAAAGTACCTCAAAGTGATACTTGAGTAAAGGTACAAGTATTTTACTATAAATTTACTTAAGTATCAAAAGTAAATTTCTGATATAAAATGTACTTAAGTATTAAAAGTAAAAAGTATTTAGTAAAAATGAGAGATTAAGTAAAAAAAAAGTCACGTTTATTGGGAGATGACCTCCCAAAAACGTTTTAAAGGTCTAAATGACTACAACATTATATTGAATGTTAATGTGAAACATTCAGGATGCACTAGGCTTCCTGTTTCAGCTGTATACACATAAAGTATTGACTTTGTACATATCATACAATCATACTAGTTACCCCACAGAGGTGATCCGTAAAACCATGTTTACACCATGGAGGGTCCTCTTTGAGGGTAAGACACTGAAATTCTTAACTCTCCATAAAGCAGTGTGAATTCATGGATCAAGTCTAAATGGTTTCATTTGTTCTGCAGGTGGAATTGATCCAATCCTGAGGGGCTTGGTGGGTAGCAAGGCTAAACTGAACACCCAGGATCGAATGCTGTCTGATGATCTGAGGGACATGCTAAGTTCACACAGAGGTTGGCATTGGATCTGGGTCACTGAACATGCAGAGAGGCAGATACCATGCACTCCCTGGTAAATATTTAGTCTAGATGCCTTGAGTCTGGAAAGCCTGTTGCATAAACTACTGTAATTTCTGCATCATCCCAAACTGTGCTTTTGCCTCTTTTAGGCTACAACAAATGGCGTGGGTTCTGTGGAYTGTCTCAGCCAAAGAATTTGAATGAGTTGGCTATAGTGCTAAATAACAAGGATTTGGCCAAGAAATTGCTGGATCTGTMCGRCACACCTGCAAACATCCATGGCTGGGAGGAGTGTCTGAACCATTTGTCCGGGGAGGGAGTGGGACCCCTCTTTGCCTGCATTATTTCCACCCAGTTCCAAAAGATCCACCAAGGAGACCGGTAAACTCAAAGATCTGAAGATAGGTGTGCTAGCCGTTTTTTTTTAACATTTAGACACTAAAATACGTCTTATTTTAGATACTGGTGGRAGAATCATGGCGTCTTCACTGATGCTCCGAAGGCGTCACTGAGAGAAACATCACTGTCTCACATCATCTTTGACAACACTGGCATCACGGAGATTACACGCAGTGTAGCGATATTCCTGCCTTTGTCTGCTTAAAGTAATACACAATATTATTCATTTTAGTGCAAGTATTGTTAATATTGAGTTTTTACATAAAATTTGCTTTTTGTTCCTAAATTTTCTATTGAACTAGGTCGGCAATGGCCTCCTGGACATTTACTTTAATAACACTGACATTACTTAAGTGTCATTTTATATCACTTTACATTACATACTGTGATATGATTATGTTAATGTATTTTTTYATACAGAGCGCCATGACACCCCAACAAACCTTCCCAAACCCAGAAATCCAACAGGAGATTTTGCTTTCTTAATGCCTCTGGGAAAAAAAAACATACCTAAAGCTGGTGCTCCCATCCCCTTTAGTGATGTAATCTTCAAGAGACAGAACAGCTATGACTCTAAGACTGGCTATTTTACCTGCAAGTGCCCAGGCATGTATGAGTTTGAGTTCCGTTGTAGCATCCAGCAGAAAACAGGCAAAGTAGATCTGTTGCACAATGGGGACCTAATTCTGAACRTGTTCACCACTCACCAAGGTGGCGATGTCATAGCCAGCGGCGGCGTCGATATTACGCTTGATCAAGGAGA